TATTAAAAACTAAAATTTATTTGTTTGTAAGCTTAAAATAGATCCTTATTAACCATATATTAATAAAAATGCATTAATAAATAAAATACAGAACGGGAATTGGTAATTTATGGTTTAGCCTAGTGGCAAGTAGATTCGGAGACAAGTAAATTCGACTTACGTCGTTTTTCGACTTAAGTTGTTCTGCTGGAACCAATTACCGACGTAAGGCGAGGTATACCTGTACAACTGTTTTGCTCTAACATAGTTTTGGAAATCCTCCATACAAAATTTCACAATTTTTAAGTGTAAACTTTGTTATTAGATATGTTTTAAAATTCAAGTAAGCATGTGTGTTGTCTCAAATATGCCCACAGATTTTAGAATATTGAAATTTTCAAATTATTTTGTGCTTTTCATCGGGTTTACTTTAATGAAAACTGATAATGCAATTTTTTTTTATCCTTGTCCTAATTTTCCTATCAATCAGGTGTCATCATCATTGCTTTCAGACTTCAGCGTTTAAAACTGTCACTGTGTTTTCTTTTTATAGATTAAACTTTGTATTTAGTAAAGTTTATTTAAACATTTTTAGGTAAGTGTTGTTAAACTTTTTTAACCGTAAGTAGTACTTACCTATGAATGATTACTTCATTCGTAAAAATGATGAATGAAATACTGCAGTCTCTCGGTACTTGAACAATTTGGTATTTGAACACAAAATCTGGAAAAAATAGCTCTGTATTCAATTGAATGAACGCAACCCTCTAGAACAAATTTTTGATTACTACGTACTTTTATTTCATCATCCATAAAATAATTTTTTATGATAAAAGTAAAAAGTATAAAAATGTTGCTGATACTTCTGATCAAGGTTGACAAAAAAGCTGAGATGACAACGATGCTATGTAAAAAGAAAACGCCCTCGTTTAACTAAGATTAATATTAACGAGTAATACAGTAATTTTAATTGTGGTTGTTAATTAATTATTAATTGCTTTAATAAATATATTTCTCCTAGTAACAAAAAATAATAGTATTTTTGCTAACTTCTGGAAGTAACCCAATGTTTTGCATTAGTCCTTTGTTTCGTATAGCACGGATTCGCATAACATGGCACTTTTTTGGAATCAACTACCATGTTATATGAGGGATACCTGTATATACTATGTATTTATAAAATATATTTTCACTGTTAGAAGATTTCGGATGTTTTGTATTGAAAGCTAAGCCATTGCTTTAGTAAACAATATAAATAAATTTTCTGCACATTAGTTCTAAGTTTTGATATACTAGATGTCATTTCTTCAAAATAAATATTTATCTTTTGATGATGATATAATTAATTTAATATGTATTGAATTGTTTTAGAAATTTCCAAATGCAGAAAATTCTGAATTTTAATTTATCTTCTCAGGAGAATTAGTGACTTGTGTGTGTATGAGGACATCAATTGTGGCCTTTGAATTCTGAGAAATCTTTTTATTTTCATTATTTTTTACAAATGCATTTTGGACCTGGGCATTTCTATGTCCTGTGAAAATCTAGTACTGGCAGACCTAATCTTAGATGGTGATTTTATAAATAAAATCAAGAATATTTGTAACAGATGTTGGAAAAATCTTCTGATTATCCCATTAAGTTTCATAAAATTTAGCTTTTAATTTAATTTATTTTTAAGGAATACTCTTAGTTTCTATCACACTGTTTGTTTACAATATACAATCTGAATTTTTAAATGGTTGGTTCTTATTTACAGTATTTGATTTATATTTATGTACTTAAATTAAATTACTTTGTAGTTATTTTGGAATTTGTTCATAATTAAAGAATTATTATTTTTTAAATATAATTAATATATATTGAGATTATGGTGAAGTTTGTGTAAGAATTTATTTTTAATATATTACAGAGATTAATTTAGTGAATTAAATTGTTATGATTATATAAAATAACAAAAATGTTTATAAACCAGAAATTTTTAAGAAATGTAATTACAGAAAACTGCTGTGATCTTATAGAAAAATAAAAGGCTATTTTGAATGTTAAATGTAATTTTTATTATATATATAGTTAATAAAAATCAATATCACTTTTTAATTCATTACAAATATACAGAAACATTAGTATTTGTGATTTTAGTCCTATTTTTATTCAATTTTTGCAGTGGATAAAATGTTAAAATTATAATTAAAGTGGCTTACGTGAATGTGAGATTTATTGCAATAAATGAAGGATTTATTTTTGCTTACTCACTTTCATATTGATTGATGATAATTGTTAATGCCTAGTTTGGAAAATTCAAATTAAATCGTACAAATAATTACCTTACAATTTGTCTGCAACACTAAATCCATAAGATAAATGTTAAAGTGTTCTTTTTGTTTTAAAATTTTTTATTGAAGCACGTGTTGTCATTATAGGGTAGTATATACAATTAGAAACTTTATGTAATTCGTTGATTAATAAAAATAAAATGGAAGTCATCACCGACAGCACTTGTGACCTATTGTTTCATTATTATTATTATTATTATTATTTGAAAATTGGACCATATTTTTATGCTGATTTAAAATGTATTTTGACGTAAATATATATTTTTTTTATTTTATAAAAAAAAAAACATGAAAACTAAAAGAATATATGTTTATAAAATGGTGATAAACTTCTATTTAGCTACAGAGACAATTCAGAAAAAGTTTTTAAACATAATTATTAATTTTCTAATTTTCTGTAGGGAAAAGGTGAATATTTCGTTTTAATTCGAGTCGAAGAGAGTTTATTTTTCAGTTTTTTATTTTCTTTTAGCTCTATTTCTGTTCCGGTTTTTAATAAAAATAGAGACCGTGGTACCGTAAGCGAGACCGATCCGTTCTTACTGACAGGGAATAACTGTGTAAACAAGCAGCGATGTAACGAATTGAACTGATCAGAAACAAAGTAAACCATGTTCGAACTTCACTCTTAAAACACCGAGGACTTTCCTAAACTCACCATTGCTTCGCCGTTTTTCAGAAACTCGTTCCTAAACTACGGAAAAACGTCACCAATTCATTAGTAATGCCTCACCGTTTTAACTCTTCGGCAAGACGGTTACTGTGACATATTAAGGACGAAAAAAGAGAAAACAGAAATTATGAATTGCGTTCCTAAACTAGTGTGGATGACGTCACACACGACCAAGCTGATGAGTTTAGAAAAATCCTCAGTTTCCCTGCGTTTTAGATAATTTTCCCAGTTAATGTCTACAGGCTTAACCGGAGGATAATTCATTGCAACGTTTTACGGCTATTGCCGTAATAATACTTTTTCTACCGAAAATTTTCCTTGTATCTCGTTCGTGCGATTGGACATATTCTCCATCCATGCTTAACTCAAGTCTTTCGGGATTCTTTAATTTTAATGTTCTTGAAAACCTTTTTCCCTTTACTTAATAAGGATTCATACGAGAAACATCCACATAAACAATATTCAAATTTTCTAAGATCACGTGGTAACCTCCCTTAGTAAATTTTGAAATCCCTAAACGTACACGGTTTGCACAGAAATACTCAGAATGATAGTGTATAGTAACTCGGTCCCCCTAATATCGGTTCTAGTTATGCTACTGGGTGCCATATTCGACATACACCCCGATTCCCTTCTCATGGAGCCATTGCGAAGTCTCAGAACGTCTCAAGATGAGTACAAAACATGTTTTCCGGTTAAAATATTCGAGTGGAAAGCGGCTGGACACCATCAAAAATGAATGGTGAAACCGCATGGCCACTGCTATCAGTGGCCATGCGGTTTCACCACTGCTATAGATAACCGGTAGTGGGCTATCTATTAGCTCAATACGGTACAATTGTACTGTATTTAGCTAATACATATCGCAGCAGGCTATATATTGCTTCTACTATCTCCACGTTTTGAGACCCCTGAACTCAAGAAAGTCCACAAAACGGTGCCAAAAAATTCCACGGATAAGTATGTGTATGTGGATGTATTGACGTATATTTCGCTTAATATCTCAGGATAGAGTAAAAATTAAGAAACGAGATTTGACATAGTGGCTTGTATATGAGAGACATTGATGCTAGTATATTTTGGTGGTGAAAGGTCGAGGGGATGGAGAGATAGAGAGTGGTCACGTGTCATATTTCGAGTGGGTTGGATTTAATGAGGATTTTACTTGTTAGCATTTATAGTTGTTTTTTAAATAAAACGTATCAAATAAAACCCTCAAAATTAATCCTTTTGCTATTTTACAATAATTTAAAAAATAGAAAAATTTTGTAATAAAAATCTCTCAACAGATAGCGCCACAAATAATTTTATTTATTTATTATGACTAATAATATAAAAGCTATTTTTTTAAATAAAGTCTCGTAACAGCTGGAAAAGTTACGCAACTCGCAACTTATCTGGATTTTTTTATTTGTTGTTGCAAACAGGTTGTATATAATTCCCACACAGAATTTTCTGTCGATTTTTACGATTTTGTTCAATATGTCCAATTTAATATAAGCTTTTTAATAGAAATAATTTAAGAAATATTCTATGTAGATTTTTTAATTAATCAAAATACTAATGCTTAAACAAACAATTTGCTTAAACATCAGAAATTATTTAACGATTAAAGTCATTGTAAGCAGTTCCTCGATTTATCAACAGCGAATTGTGTATACAATCTTCATTTCTGTGCGTGTTTATCTCTAGATAATGTTTGTGAGAAGCGAATTTAGAAATTTTAACGTTTAAAACAAAGTTAATCAACAGATTAAAGTGAATATCGAATCTTTCAACAATCTGAAGGATGTCAGAATATTAAAATTGACTCAGATTAAAAGTTCTAACGGAAATTAAACTTATCATAAACATTAATTCTCTTTTAAATGCAGATATTTACAGTAAATTCGTGTAAATAATTGAAAAATAATATAAAATTTCTGTAACAAAATGGCCGCTGATATAGTTAGACTTAGCAAAACTTTACAAAATTAAAATTATAATACTGTTTGATTCATAAAACAAATACGAGATGGCAGCAGTAGATATGTGGACACCATTACAGTTTCTAACTTAATTTTGTTTTTCTTCGTTTAAAATTAACGAAAAGAGCCAAAAACTTGGTTCAGACATAATAAACTTTATTCAACATTTTTATTTATTTTTAAACAATTTATAAGCTTGTTTCTATTTTTTTTTCTTTTCAATCATCAATGTCACTTAAAAGTTTGTTTCTACTATATTTATTTTTAAAATATAAAAAGAAACAGCGAAAGAAGTTTAAGAATATTGAAGATTTCCATTCGAAAGAATACAGGAAACGTTAGGAAAAAAATATCTTTACACTATTATCATAGATCGGGTCAATATCTGACGTCTTTTCAAATTTCTGACGTGTCAAAAGAGTCTTTGACAATCGCGATGTTTGTCGTACAATAGATAGCACCTTTCTCTTCGTCTATCTGCTCCAAAAAGTTCCAGTTACATCCAATATTTTCTCTGTTATCTTCAGTATAACTGCATATAACATAAATTTCTAACATTTTCCTCAATGGAGAACAAACTGAAAAATGATGAAAATGAACAGAAATACACAAAGAATAACACTTTAGAGTGAAAATTCTAACAATTTTTACATCGAAATCATGAAATTTTCTTTTAAAAACATCATCTCTCTTTTTTTTCCATCCGTAGTTTGATGCTGTCATTTCGTGTTCAAATCCCAGTTTTTACTTTCTTTACTCATAAAATCTGGCAATTTCTTAATAAAATTCGAAAATTTCATTAAAATTTAAAATATTTTCTCTCATTAAATTGTTAAAATTGCTTTATATGCATCAATATTGCAATTTAAAAAAAAAAAAACTTTGCTCGTTATTCGTGATTTAATCAAATCTGTTTTGGATATTTTGAATTAATGCTCTTGTAATTTATGATGTAATGTTAATAATTTCGATATAGTTGACATTCGCGATATTATTATAATTAGGGGATTATATATTCAGAACATGGTCATCTTCAGCTCTGTACATTATTGTTAATTGTCCATTGCATCCAACGATCTCTAATTTACATAATATGCAACATGTGATGTTTTCGCATTGCTCGATGTTATAAAGCAATAATTTATAACAAAAATTGAATTTTTACTTTCTAAATACATCAAAATTTTATAATATTCAGAGGATTTTCATAATATCAATTGATATTAAAATTATTTCAGTACAAAGTTGACTCACAGTATAAAGAAACGTGATTTTGAATACTGCAAGATAGATCTTTTATAGAGATGTTACTACTTTCAGTTATTCCAACTAATAATAATTTTTATAATAAAATATATAGTAAAAAAGTAATTTTTTCGCGATAGTAACTTCTATAATCTCATATACTTAGTTTAATAATTGCATTGTAATAATATACATATGATAATTTATAAACATGTGATCGTTATTAAGTCTAATTTACGTAAGTTTACATGACGATTTGTACAATAAAACACCAAATTGTTAAACAAAATCGTGATTTTATATTAAGTACAGATTATACAATCGTGGTTTTATTATTTTTTTTAGAAAAATGCATTTTATAGAAGCCAACGAGGCATGATTTTCGTGCAATTCAATGTTATCAATCATACAACATCCAACGTAGATTATTCTTACAAATTACTCTTTCATCAGAAAAAAAAAAACTAGACTATTTTTATATACTCATTTTAAAAAGTAACTGAATTAAAATAATAAAAATGTTATCTTATTTTATATTTAATGAGTTACAGCATGCAATTTAACTTTATTAAGAGCGCGGAGCGATTGTGTTTGCGAGAATTTTTCATGTTTTATTTATGCAAAAAAAATAACTCTTTAATTAATTATAAAAACAAGAGATGTTGAAGCTCAATTATTTGAAGTAAACAACTAAAAGATTCATCGAAGCAAAAATTAAGAAACATCCGAAACCCAGTTTTATTTTGACAATGACGTCACGGATGTGGACGGTCCGATGATTTCGAAAATAGAAAGAATTGAGAACGATGTCCCATTTTTCTTTTCCTTAAAAATCCATAACTGCTTGTAAATACATTTTTCCCCCCTTTTGAATTCCTTTTTTTTTTCTTCTTCTTCTTCTTCTTCTTCTTCTTCTTGTGGATGCGACCGGAATTGCGGTGAGGATCTGATGCAAAATTGTAAAAACAGTAAACATTTTCGCACTTTTTGAGTTAATAAAATGGATTTTCTTAATGAAAATGGACTAAAATTCTCTTGTTTTTTTTAAAGAGAAACTAAATTAATGTTTCTCTCCTAATAGGGATCAATTATATTGAAGCGATTCCTTTACCACGTTTCCAGTTATATTACTTGGGAGTATGACTGTCATGGCTCATTTAGCAGAAGTTCTATGACAATTTCGACTTTTTTATATCCGTGTTTTCCTTTCTTTTGTCATTTATTTCGGGATTATTTACCGAATTAAATATTTTTATTACTTATAATATTTTTATCTTAAGTCTTTCTCTCTTTCTCGTTACATAAAACAACATAAAAATAGTATGTAGTTAAAAATAAATGTTTGAAATTTTTAAAGCTATTTTAATATGAAAATTTGATATTTTTTTAATCTTTAAAAATTATATTTTTATCCATTTTATTGCGATATATGTACATAGAAATGTAACTTTTCTGTTTAAAGTTTGTAAATTATATCGTATTTTTGTAAGAACTGAAACTAATTTTTTTCTATTTTAACTCGATTGAATCCACAAAAATTCAAAGATACCAACTAAATTCCTGAAAAGACTATCTACAGATCGTCTTTCACTACCAGTTAAGACGTTATAAGTTCAATGTTTTCATTCAAGTACATTAGTTTATAAGTATACAAATTAAATTTATAATTTAAATAAATAAATTATCTGAGAAAACTCCATACATTTATAGGGAAAAAAATGATTTTTTTTTCTTTCTTGCTAGACGTGACCAACGATAGTTTTAGGCACTTGTATAGTAATTGAAGTGTAGAAAATATGTTACTAATCCTTATAATTACTTACCATTTGCGCTTAAGATGACCTTATCATTCTTATGAAGCATACTATCAAATTATAAATGAATCACGTACATTACAGCTAACTAAATACTAGTTATGGATGAGGATAACGTTAAACCAAGAAATCACACTAATCTAAAAATGTCTGTGCTTAAATTCTCTTCTTTTTTACACAATTATAACAGGTTAAATAGGTGAAATCTGGCATCAATGTCTCACAAACCTGATTTTCCATCTTTTATAATTCGTTTTTAAGAACTTTAAACTCTACATTTTATCAAAATAAATGCCAATTTATTCCAGAACATGTCAAGAATCCCATTTTAAGCAAATATAATATTTAAAATATAAAATAAAACTCTTAAAACTATCAATTCAGGAGTATATCTAATCACCTTTAGCAATCATTGTCTGTTTAACCCTTTAAATTAAATATATGAAAACTAGTTTTTACGTGGTCCTGATCTTAAAGATAAGCGATTTTATTAATAAATGATTTAAAAAAATGATGATAAATGGTAAAATATTCAAAGTATATTTACGAGAAAATCAAATTAATCCATAAAATATATGGAAGATTCGGGATAACCAGACCAGTTGAGGAGGATAATACACGATACTTCTGATGATGATCGAAAAAAAATTGAATGTGAGAGGCAAGAAACATGAGTTTTTATTAAAAATACATTGCAAAAAAGCAAAAAAATCTCGTACGATATTAAAAAGAAGCGTAAAAATGATAGAATTGGTGGATTATTTGCCGCTACAACAAACAATTTAATTGGTCGAGTAAACACGACTATCCACTCGAGTTACTCTGATCCAATTAGCATTATTATCGGCTGGATTTCTATTCTTTCTCTATCAGAATCGTCGTCATGATTCTTCCCCCTAAAGTAGAGGGTCAAACAGATGACCTCGTAACCTCCCTACTTAGAGAAATCTTCCAAACAATCATTCTAACTCGATAAGGCGGTTAAAAGTAAGTGAGTAAAGCTTAGTTTTTCTTTACAATTAACATAAATTTCTATATGACTAGTTAGATTCCTTGAATTTTCGAGTTTTATTTTATTAGTTTCTACATTTAAATTACATGGAAATGTGTTAAACTTCGTCGTAAATAATTATTTTTAATTTAAAAATGAAATATTCATAAGATATCGATTTTTTTTTGTTGATAATTTAAGTCGAGTTATCTGCATTATTAAAAAAAAACACGTCTTTAAATTAAATGGCTGAGTTATATTCGTTAAAATCCAAATATTAAATTCTTTCCGACTGTTTGAATGGCTTTCTTGAAAAAGAATTGTTTCCTTTATTCATTTAATACTTGGAAATAACATTACTTTCGCTTCTTACATTATTTAGAAGAGTATCATTTTTTTTCTATATTAAAAATGTAAGTTTTTATATGAAAAAAAATATAATAAATTTTTTCAAACTAAAAGATGTAATATAAAAGCTATTTTTTTAAATAAAGTCTCGTAACAGCTGGAAAAGTTACGCAACTCGCAACTTATCTGGATTTTTTTATTTGTTGTTGCAAACAGGTTGTATATAATTCCCACACAGAATTTTCTGTCGATTTTTACGATTTTGTTCAATATGTCCAATTTANTTATTAAAAAAATACATTTTTGTAGTTTTTATCACAGAATGGTCCTATCTTTCATTTTATATTTTACAATTCAAATTTTTATTATTCATTATAAAAATAATATCTTGATTTTTCTCTAATTCAAGAGTTGTCTCTTTGATATTCTCAGTTTATCTTGGTTATCTTTTTTTATTATGATGCTCTTTCTTTATACATTTCGATATGTTATATCGAATTCACTGAATTTTGATAGATTTCATCATTTTAATATAATTCTTTAGAAGAAAAGACATTTTTAATATATATTAATATATATATTATTTGTCATATTAAAGAGACATTCTTCGTTATTAAAATATCTTTGTCATCAGATATAATATCTTATGAACCTTTATCATCATGGATTATATCTTCATCTATCCATCTGTCATCATTCAAATGCAGAATATTACTTTAATTTTTCTTTATCTTTATTGTGATCCTGATTTCTTCATCACTGATACTTTAATTTTCCACATTTTGATCACTAATATCAAGAGTTTCACATTTTTCTATCCATAATTTCAATACTTTCACTGTATTTCATTACTAATTTCTATTTTATCAAAACTTTCTGCTCGTTTTCTCCTATAGGATATTAGATTTTCTTAATATTCATCAGATTGTGTTGTTGTTTCTCAGCAGCTTACAACATTGTTCAATAGAGATCTATACAGAAGATGGTCACAAAATACAGTAGAAAGTGGAGTCACACACATACACAGCACAGAGTCGCTGTTCTAAAGCAGCTGCCACTTCCAGCAGCGACAACTAGGAAAACGCATTATTGACGAAAATTGTTTAACCAAGTCGAAAGAACAGCAAACTATCGATTACAACTTCAACATTTTAAAGCTTTAAACACTTTCAGAATATCCCAACTCATCATAAACTTCATCAGAATTAATTTTTACAACGTAAAAACCAAAGAAAAATGTCTATTTAACATTAGTAAATTTTTAATAAATATGAAGCAATGATTGATGAAAGAGAAGATTAATAATTTTCCAAGTATTATTAAGGATTTTTCGACAAGGAATCGATTTATTATCCATTATATTAACAAAAGTTTAAACATAAGTTTTATCATAAACATCATTTTTCATCCGGAATCGCTTCATAAATAAAGAAATAATTAAAGATATACACCCAATAACTTACGAACATACCTTCAAACCAAAGCATTCGATCAAAGATAAACCTTTTAAAATCGTTCTAAACATCTAAAAATATATCATTGACGTATCGGAATCGCTGATAAATTGATAAATTGGATGGATAAGCGAGAGGAAATTCGTTGGAGCCTGTTAATAACCTCAGGTTATTAAATGAGTTTCGAAAAATAAACGATGTTTATAATTATTTATTATTTTCTTCAAAGTGTACAACGCTTATTAAAATTAACAAATGATGCTTTAAATTTGAAAATTGTATGTCATACAGAATAGAAATAAAAAGATAAGAACGAATTCAAATCGGCCAATCGGCATCGAGATAAATTTAAATTTTAACCAATCAGCCAATCCGCATTTGAATTAGCGATGATATCATTCGACGTCACAGTACAAAAATTAGTTATTACTTTCGCCTCTAGAAGCAAAAATGACGCTGTAAACGATTCACCGTTATAATTAAACTTAAAAATAATCAGAAACAGAGCCATTTCCGATACATAAATTATTAATTTAAATGTATATCACACGGATAACAACGCTATTTTTTTCCCTGGTGTTGAAATTTCAAAATAATAAAAATTTACTACTACAAGTTCCAACATTATGAAGGATATAATGTCACTTTTTACGTTATAGTATATTTTTAAAGATTTAAATATATAAAATCTCACTTTGATTGGTCGATAAGATGTAAGTTACGGTAGATTAGCCAATCAGACTTCGGGAAAATCGTTTAAATTCTAAAGCTTATAACTTAATGCATAATTACCAAACCGTAAAAGTTCTTTTTAGTTTTATTTTATTTTTATTTTTTTCTGAATTTTCCGCTTAAAAATTCATCTGAGATATTTAAAAGAATTTACTGACTTTAAAGTAAATATTAAAATTTTAAAAAAATGACTTAAAAAGGACATAAAATTTCAATGTTTTTAATGAAAAGAACGTTAAAATTTTAAAGTTTATATCTACGTAAATCTTAGAATTTGAAGGATTTAAGTAGAATGGTGTTTAAAAAGAAATTTTAAGACGAAAGTAAACTTGAGAATGGGTTCGAAATGACTAAAAAAATAGAGTCGATAAAAGTAATTTCTTAGTATTAAAATTAAAATAGCATTTATATATAAATCCTAGAGAAGTAGGCCAAGTGAAAAGACATAAATTCGTAATTCTTTTATTAAAGATTCCGATATTTAGGACGTTAAACATTTTCATGGATCGAAGTATCTGTTGAGTAGCCATTAATTTTCTCTCTTATTTTCCTAAAAAGAAAGAAATAAACATAGATTTTGCATATCGTAGAAACTCCCACACTTAATCTATCTTCCGCAACATTATATTTACTAAAATATTCGATAATATTTTTTAAAATCAAAATGCCAAGCATCTAGAGTTATTCCTCATAAATTGAACCAAATTCTGCAACAGATGACACAATTCGTTCGATTCCGAAACTTAATTAAATTATCAACCAATAGCGATCGATTTTATATATTTTAAATAATAATAAATTTCAGATTTGGGAGATGAAATCGCGAGTGGGAAATCTCGCGAGAGAGACTTAATTCTCCATTTTCAACAAAAACCACGTGTTTGAAGGTCATACAGGGACACCCAGATGCTTGTTATTGATTCGTTATACTCACGTGATGTCCCGGAAGTGACGCAAATGTCCTACTTTTGGATTCTAGAAATAGCAACTTCGGTTTGTTTTTGTTATTTGTGTTGTTCGGTTTAAAGAAATTTGCGAAAATGACCGAAAGACCGAAAAAAAAAGAAAGAATCAGTGATTGAAAAAGAATTAAATTACAACCAATTTTTACAAATGGAGGGCGTTAATGCCAACAATTGATCTATAAAACTAAAAAAAAAAGGCAAAAATCTTATAGAATATCCTAATTAACATAAAAAAACGAATACTAAAAAAATTAGCCAATAGCGCGCTAGAATTCAAAAATTCAAATCTAGCTTCCCGATTGGCTGTAGCATTCGTTATACTTTTTACCAATGAAAAAAAACGTTATAAAACACTGCATAATAAAGAAAATATTTATATATTAAACTATAAACGTGATTTATTATGTATATAAAGCTTAATTATTCTAAAAATATCGTTTTATGTTTGACATTTTCTCGTAAAGTAACCATTTAAAGATCAAATTGAAAACGTTCGAGTGCCATAATTTAATAATAGCTTTAATATGTGAAATTTTCATGAAGTTGACCGACTTCTTCAAACAGGAAAAATTTGACTATTCTCTTAATGGATGATTTTCTCTTGCAAAAGAATCTATAAAATTTGTTTATGGCTACTTACTATAATGGTTGCTTTGTTTTCCTAATGCTTGCACACACACACACAAACTATCTGATCAAGTGTGTTCTCTGCATGGGCCAATCTTTCTTCTCCTTGTGAAAAACTTGAAAATTTCTTCTATATATTTTAATAGCAGTTAAATAAAATTATACATTTTTCAATATATACATTCTCACTTTTTCTGGTCTTTTCTTAAATTCCTGAATATATTTTTTATCTTTATGAAAAAATATCTTTGGGAATTATGAATAATTTATCATTTTTTAAAATGTATCTTTTGCATAAATATTAATATTCGTTTTTCTTTCACTGCTTTTTTAATTATTAAAATTTCATTTGTATTTTTTCTTCCTCTCTTCTTCAATTTTTCTTTTTCTTTTCTTCTTCTTTTCCTTCTATTTTCGCGTATTATTCTCTAAATATTTTATATATTTTTAAAGATATAAGTTGATTCTTATCTTCTAAATAAATATATTTGATGATTTTTAAGCATTAAATTATAAAAAGTTTGCAATATGCTTCGCTGTCGAGAGACTCTTCAATAGAAGAGCAATCAGATTGTTATATTCTGAATTCGCTTGTAATTAAAAAAAGGAATGAATTTGTATATGTTTTTAATTATTTAAATACAATTTTCAAATATTTTTTATATATTTTGGCAAGCAATTTATGTTTTTTTTTTTTTTTTTTTTTTTTTAGNTGTTCTTTTTTTTTTTTTTTTATATATATATACCAATCCCAGAAAGATACAGTTTAAGATCACTCTAGAATGAGTCATTTTAAATATTCAGATTCTTATTTTGGTATAAAATTGAAGGGAAATTTAAGAGAATTTTACTGGAATAGAACGTTAAAAG